AAACAACGGAGCAACAACAGTTATTTTCATTATTAAGTTGAATTTTTACTTCGTTTCAAAGTTTCTACGAAACTTTCGTGTTTTATTTAACTTTACATTTGAAGTGTAATAAAAGACGTGAGGCAATACTGTCTTTTTTTAAGGCAAAATATTCAACAGTTTGTTAAAACATGGTCCTGTAAGGTGGCCACCAGCATCACCGGATCTGACACCTACAGGCTTTTTTCTGTGGGGAATGTTGGAAAATCAAATTTATAGTCAGTTTAAGCTTTTTTTTAAGTAATTTTTTTTGACTTTCTTGTGTCAGAAATTTCTTCTACCCTTTGTCTGTTAAAATATTTAGTTTGGTGTCTTTCTAGCTATCCTTTCATGATGTACAGTGGTTTAAAGTACATAATACAGTTTTAAAAAAATGCCTTAAGAAACCAATATCATCCTGAGTATGTTATATTATTGATAAGATAATTTAAAATGCCATCTTTTTCGATTAAAATATACAGGATGTTCCATTTAAAAAAATGAGCTTAGGTGCAAAAACTTTTCTACCTGACCGCGTATGCTCTTATCATATTTGGCCAAGGTCTATTGATGCCTGAATTTACGGTACTTATTTCTTAGACCGCCTGTATAACTTCCCCGCTGCATTCTAACCTCTAAAAAGCTAAACACTGAAAAAAAGTGCGGTTAAATCCGGCCAACTGCAACAATTGACTAGAAAGATCACTGTTGGTGCGCCTCTGGGCGGGTTTATCCCATATCGCAAGCGTTAATTCTCAATGTGAATTCAATTGAGTTGTAATGGGAAAATCCAGTTGTGTTCATTTGAAATTTCTGTGTGCCAATGGCAAAAGCGAATTTTTGGGTTGAGGTCGTTTTCTATGAATAATTTCTCGGTCGCATTACGCCCCCAAGGTGTCCTAGACGCGATCAGATAAGCCGACAATGGAATGGGTCCAATCAGGTTCATTGCCTTGACCCAATGGGCATTTTTCGGTCAACCAAAGCCAAAAGACGCAAAAAATACAGACATTCAGTCACATTGCTTGCGCGATTTCGTTTGAACGCATATTCAGATATGGGAAAATCCTAATTGGAAGAAGATGGTTCGCTTAGGCAGGCTCTGGAAAACACCCACCTGTTGTGGACACTACAGTTTCATTGCCGGAAACTCGACACTAAACCCACAAAACTTCACTGCTAAGAAAATGATAGAAACTGACCGGTGGTGGTACCCGTTGGTGGTTCTTCTATACGACGGTTCTCGTCTCCTCTCTTCTACAACGCAAACTGGTTTGCTGCCGCTGTGATTTTTGATGACGAACCCAAACCTACGCTGGTACTTCTAGCTTTCTGTGGTGGGTTCTGGTGGTACTGGACGGGGTCAGTAGCGTACAGATAACTGCTGATAAGTAAACTGTTTTATTTTTCGTTGTTCATCTACACACACACATTTTTCAGTGCCGTCGCTTTATATGAAAATTGGTTGAATGTACAGGGTGTCCCATATAGAGTAAAGCAAGTTTACGACATATTAAAAAGCTGCTAAAAGCGCATATTTTCAAAATGTTCACAACTACCCAGAGTGCGTCAGGAAAGTGGGGCACAGAAAACAGGCTTTTTCCTAAAGGAACACCCTGTAGTATTTTATTTTCTTTTTGAATTCTTTTGTAAATTTTAGTTACTTTTTGCTGTATAAAATATGAACGAAAATTTGATGGTTCATTAATTATTCTTCTGGCTTCCACGGTGACAATTCGCTTTTTATGGTGTTGATAAATCGGAAATTTCTCTGTTGTTTTTGGACACAAACTTTCGAAATTTGGCAGACGAAACGACTAATACTAAATTAATTTTTGGTATGCAAAATATTTGTCTTTTAAACTACAGGGCGGTCACAATAATCGCTATAAAAATACAAAATATAGAACGTAACAAAGCTAAGTATAAAATACGAAAATAAAACTAGGTACATTGAAACTTATTAACGCAATTAAGTGATAAATGAAAAGATAAAAAATATATTTGAGTTGAACCCAATTTGGAAACGAAAGATCGAAAGCTTCATTTATTCTCAAGTAAAAAAATCGACTTTTTGCATAATTGATGTTTTGTTGAATTTTCTTGTTGAGAATGCGAATTATTAAACTAATTAAAAAAATTGTGGTCATAAATCAAAGAAAATGTCGAATATTTTCCAATGGGAGCGTTTATTTATGATTGAAAAGTGTTTTTTGCTCCCGAAAATAAACAATGGTAGCGTTTATTCTCTCTGCATCTCCGTACACGCCCAGTCGCTCGACAACGGCGTTGCCAACTTGCACTTTAGCTCCTGATGTGGACACTGTCAGAAGTCAAAACTACCTAACCCATAATTGGTGACAGTATTTTGGGGCCCCTTAAACTCTTAGACTACGTAAACTCTAAAAAATGGTACGTCAGGCTGAAGCCGAGGAATTCCTCTTGAAACACCTTACGAAGATATCCAGTGACTTCAAGTGTGCAATTGGCTTAATAATCGGGCAGGTACACGGTGGCATCTGCTGTTGCAAACTGATGCGTGGTACTGAATAGCCCCATTTTCCAGGCAAATGCCCACAAGTTTAATGTGGTCCATTTGGCAAGGACGCCGATCTCCGATAGCAACGATGACCAAACGCCCCCAAATCACATTGCCAGTATTGTTGAGGTGAATCAGGCGTGGGTGGTTGATCATGCCAGGCAAACGCTTAGAATGTTGTCTGGAGGCATGTACGTGCTGGGAGTTTTCGTCGTTGGCGACGAGGAGATTTTCAACCCATTCCATCCGAAAATAAAGTCCATTCTGACTGGCATCAATAAGACTCTTCAAGCGGACAAGTATTTGTTTGGGGGCGATTTCAGCGAGAAATTGGTGCTGAGCTTCGCTCTCAAAAGCCAGCGCTGGGCAGCCAGAGCCTATGACGTGGCCAGCGCCAACGTGCAGCCTGTTGAGTGGAAATTTCTACCGAAAGCAACCAAATTTATTGTCTTCGAGTGCACTTATCAAATCCAGCATGTTTATCACCTGAAGACGGGCGAAGCCGATGGGCCTTTGAAGAGCCATGTTAAGGTAAAAGCTAGACAACAAAAGAAACTCACAGAAACCAGGCTGGCATGAAATGTAGGCGATCCTAGACGACATCGAGCACAATCTGCAATCAGCAGTCCTGCTGTTCGACAACGACCTGAAGGACGCGGATGAGAAGCTGGAAAATGTGGGCAAAAAGAAGAAAACTCCCAGGACTAATTCCAGCAAGTCCGCTCCAGAGCAGGCCGAAGCCCCAGCTAAGCCTGTGGCTGTTTCAATATTCGAGAAATGTGTAAGGGTAACGTCATTTTACCTCCTCCTGAGCTGATGAGCGTTTCTGGGCCCCCAGTTGGCGCTCAAGCCCCTCAACTCGCTTCATCAGGCAAAGTTTGAGGGCGACATTCGAGTGGAAGGCGAAGTGATCAGCAAGCTCTGGCTGAGCCCTAAGGGGACCTTTGGGGAGGCCATGCAGGCTGTTAGGGAGGATATCATGAGGAGTCTGGCCACGCGAATGGAATTACACTGGGACTCTTTGATCGAGGAGGAGCTGCGAGAAGGTACCAGCGCCAAATCCACCACCTAAACCGGACGGCGTCTTACGGATTTGCGTGGGTTTCAGATGTGAACAGCGTCCACGAGCCCCCCAGGAGGGCGCTGATCGCTCTGCCCGACAGCAACGTTGGCGTGTCCGATTACCTTTTTTCAGGCGAAGCCCCTGAAGAGGCCAAATTTTCCTTGCAGGAACTGTTCGGTGTCCAGACAGACGACAGTTTAGAGGTGTTGGATTTGGAGGCGCAAGCAGGTGAGACCAAAGGCGTTAAAAGACAGTGGAGTGGAGAGTTCGCTCTTTTTTGTGAGCATAAAAGTTTGAATGGCTCTTTCCTTTGTGCAGATATCGCCCTGCTATATGATGCCAACGCTACTGCACATGAAGCTGACCAAGTTGACTCAAAGAGCGCATCGGATTCCAGTAAGTTTATGTATATTTTGGGCCTAGTTGCCGCCATTATCATTTTATTCGTGTCTATCTTTGTTCATTTTTATCTAAAGTATGTCTAGGGCCTTTTTTTATATTCAGCAAGTTCGGGGAATAAAAAATCGTTTTATACAAACGAGTTTTTATTGGAAAAAAAATTAAATGGTGCCCAATTAGGGAAATTCTGTGCAAATACTGGCCTAGTTGAACTTGCACTTGGAAAAGTCCATTTCGGGGTGCTGTTCCATGAACCTGCAAATCATCAGGGTTTAAAATGTTTTTTTTTAAATGTAAAGGGGTTGGTGTTGGAGCAAGTTTTAACTCACTTCTTGATAACGTCCTGTTTTTTCTGCTCGTCGCTGGTGGGCAGTCCCATCGTCTTCTGCCTTTGGTCGTACATCATCTTCTCCACCATCCCGCGAGTTTCGCCGTCCAGATCGCTCAACTTCGAGGGCTCCGGGTTGATTTTCTTCGTGCTAATCTCCGGGTCGCCGTTCACCAGTTTACTCCACCAGTTCATCTTGTTCACCTATCCGAATCACCAACCAATCGTATGAGGCCGCAAAGTCCCAACCGGCAACTCGATTTACCTTCTCAAAGTTGAACAGCAGAACTTTGCCATCTTCGATCACCCACGTCGACTCTTCCAGCTTGATTTCGTGCGGAAAATCATCATCAATGATGGGCGGCTGTCCTTTCACGCCGCAGGTCAGATGTTTCTTTGTGAAGTTGACGCTGAGATCCTTTTGTTTCGCCCGGAACTTAATGTCCAGTGGCACGCGCAACTGCAACAAACAACCAAAGGTGACTTTGGTTTTATGTGGGAATCTTGGAATCCGTGTGTTACACAACCAGAAGCCTGGTCGCGGTCTGATTGTTTCGTCCGAAAGGTCGTCCAGACCTAGTGCTAGTTAATTTTCCCATGTAAACTGCTCAACAACACCAACGTTACACAGCCAAATTTGTCCTTACTTTGGAAGCGGATAAATTCTGATCGCTCAGACCGATTTGGTTTCTGTTTGAAGCGTTCCTGAGCCCCATATGATTTCTGTTAGTCAGTGTTTTAATGAAAATTAATTAAGCATAAGATTAATTTTCTGCAGGGTGGCAGATAAAAAATGCTACATTTTTCAAAGTTCGGCATGCTTCTAGCTGTTATACTGAGCAAGTTTCGGTATTTAAAAATATCCCCTTGATAAACAAACACTATTTTCATTCTGCACGTTTTGAAAAGTGAAATCGGTAAAAATTTGTGAAACTTCCAGATCAAGCGTTTTTGGTTAGTTGCCTCATTTCTCTAGAACATCCAAACATTAACAATAACAAAAAACTCGATGTTTAAAAAATTCCATTTTCTATTACTTCTGGTTGATAGCGTTTTCTTAGGTAAATCGCCTAAAGCGCCTTCTGAAGGGAATATGCCAAACTGAAATGTACAAAAGCGCCTTCAGAAGTGAATAGGTCGAACTAAAATCGACAAACACGCCTTCCGAAGGGAATATGTCAAACTAAAATCTACAAAAGCGCCCTCTGAAACAAACATGTCGAACTAAAATCGCGAGAAGCGTCTTCTGAAGGGAATATGTCAAACTAAAATCCAGAAAAGCGTCCTCTGAAGTGAATAAGTCGAACTAAAATCGACAAAAGCGCCCTCTGAAGAGAATAGCTAAAACTAAAATTTACAACAGTGACCTCTGAAGTGAATAAGTCGTACTAAAATATTCAATAGCGCCCTCTGAAGTGAATAGGTCGAACTAAAATCGACAAAAGCGCCCTCTGAAGGGAATAAGTCGAACTAAAATGGACAAAAACGCCCTGTGAAGAGAATAGGTCGAACTAAAATCTATAGAAGCGCCGTCTGAAGTGAATAAGTTGAACTAAACTCCACAAAAGCGCCCTCTGAAGAGAATAGATCGAACTAAAATCTACAAAAGCGCCATTTGAAGTGAATAAGTGGAACTATAATTGACAAAAGCGTCCCTGCAGTGACTAGGTCGAACTAAATATATAAAAAAGCCCTCTGAAGGGAGTAGGTCGAATTGAAAACTACAAAAGTCCCTCTGAAGTGAATAAGTCGAACACTAAAATCGAGAAAAGCGCCCTCTAAAGAGAATAGGTCGAACTTAAATCTACCGACGCGCCCTCTGAAGTGAATAAGTCGAACTAAAATCTACAACAGTGCCCTCTGAAGTGAATAAGTCGAACTAAAATATTTAACAGCGCCCTCTGAAGTGAATAAGTCGAACTATAATCGACAAAAGCGACTTTTGGAGTGAATATGTCGAACTAAAATCTACAGAAGCGCCTTCTGAAGTGAATAAGTTGAATCACAATCTACAACAGCGCCTTCTGAAGGGAATATGTCAAACTAAAATTTACAAAAGCGCTCTCTAAAGTGAATAAGTCAAACTATAATCGACAAAAGCGACCTCTGGAGTGAATAGGTCGAACAAAATCTACAAAAGAATCCTCTGGAGTGAACAAGTCGAACTAAATTCGACAAAAGCTCCCTCTGAAGAGAATAGGCCGAACTAAAATTTACAACAGTGCCCTCTGAAGTGAATAAGTCGAACTAAAATATTCAACAGCGCCCTCTTAAGTGAATAAGTCGAACTAAAATCGACAAAAGCTCCTTCTGAAGGGAATATGTCAAACTAAAATTTACGGAAGTGCGGTCTGAAGTGAATAAGTCGAACTAAAATCGAGAAAAGCTCCTTCTGAAGAGAATATGTCAAACTAAAATTTACAAAAGCACCCCTGGAGTGAATAGGTCGAACTAAATCTATAAAAGAGCCGTCTGAACGGAATAGGTCGAACTGAAAACTACAAAAGTCCCTCTGAAGTGAATAAGTCGAACGTTAAAATCGAGAAAAGCGCCCTCTGAAGCGATTAGGTCGAACTAAAATCTACAATAGTGCCCTCTGAAGTGAATAAGTCGAACTAAAATCGACAAAAGCTCCTTCTGAAGTGAATGTCAAACTAAAATTTACAAAAGCGCCCTCTGAAGTGAATAAGTCGAACTAAAATGGACAAAAACGCCCTCTGAAGAGAATAGGTCGAACTAAAATCTACCGAAACGCCCTCTGAAGTGAATAAGTCGAACTAAAATGGACAAAAACGCCCTCTGAAGAGAATAGGTGGAACTAAAATCGTCAAAAGCGCCCTCTGAAAGAAATAGCTTCCCCCGAGCTCAGGGCTGGTTATTTGGTATGCGAAAAGATGCGTCTCCACTCAAGCCAATGGCATGCATACTAATCGAGTTCCAGTGAACTTTCAAGGAAACTTTGGCCCAAGGCAATGTGGAATGGTTGAATTTCTTTGCCTCCGGCCAAATTCCAGTAGCAATAGGCGGCGCGTCGTCGACGGTCAATTTTTTTTCAGTTTTGTTTCCATTGTGAAAGTGAAAAACTTTTCAAATGCCACCCGAAGTTCAGGTGAGTCCAAGTCAACGTACGTTCGACCACTGGTCTAACGGTTTCCAAAGCACATTTACACAGTGATTTATCACGGCTGGTTGTTGTATTTTGAAAGGCGATTAATTCACAATGCCGCCCAACACGCACTGCGGCGATTGAAAAAAAACTGCGAGTTTACTTGTATTTTGTTTTATCGTTCATTCCGATTCGCAATGTTCGCAGTAAATTAGGGTTTCACGATATGGATTTGCGTCATTGGCGTTTATCATGTTCGGTTTTCCTTCGGTTTTTCGTTTTACACAAATGGGTTTGTCACATTGACCACTATACAGGGTAGGGTGACTTCTATTAGCATATTTCCCGAGTAGAACTGAAGCACGTTTCTTCCCACCCTGTACTTGGTGTCCCATTTTCGACACTTTTATAGGGTATTCTCGCAGTTGATAGAGCTATAAAGTAGCTAGATAGTGTAGGCGTCATATTTTTAGGCCAAACTTACATGGTAAAATCAAAATTTGAAAAATTTTGCTCGCTTAGGAGATACAAGAATGTAAAAGAAATTTCATTTTCAAAATGACCGTAATTTTTCATTATTACATTGCCAATGTAATAAAAGACGTGAGGAAATTCTGTCTTTTTTAAAGACAATCTTTTTTGTAGCGAAATACCCAACAAACACTTTGTGAAAACATGGTCCTGTACGGTGGCCACCAGGATCCCGGATCTGATACCTACAAACTTTTTTCTTTGGGGAATGTTGGAAAATCAAATTTATTGTCATTTTTAGCTTTTTTGAGCCACTTTAAGCCGACGACTTGATCAAATAATTCATGAGGCTTTTGCAGAACTAAAACCGTTAGACATCATGAAAGCCTTAAATCTGTTCGAAAAAAATTAAAATGTGCTTTGAAAACAACGGAGCAACAACAGTTTTTTTAATTATTAAGTTGAATTTTTACTTCGTTCCAAAGTTTCTACGAAACTTTCGTGTTTTATTTAACTTCACATTTGAAATGTAATAAAAGACGTGAAGAAATTCTGTCTTCTTTTAAGGCAAAAATTTATTGAGTCGAAATACCCAACAAACAGTTTGTAAAAACATGGTCCTGTAAGGTGGCCACCAGGATCACCGGATCTGACACCTACAGACTTTTTTGTGTTTTATTTGACTACAGTTGCAATGTAATAAAAGACGTGAGGAAATTATGTCTTTTTTAATACACAAATTATTTCATGCGAAATACCCAACAAACAGTTTGTAAAAACATGGTCGTGTAAGGTGGCCACCAGGATTACCGGATCTGACACCTACAGACTTTTTTCTTTGGGGAACATTGGACACCCTGTACATGCATAATATGTGTGATATACAGATATGGTCGATGTGACGCAAGCTGTTCAACACTTTGCACACGTGGAGGTCAATAATTGTCGAGATCGACTTATACAACACTTAAAACAAACATTTAATTCACTCTCAGGCCTGCAAGAATGTCGTGTGGTTGCGCCACCCAATCGAACGGTTTGCTTAGGTGCTTGAAGGGTTGCACGGCACGCCCTTGAGGCGGCTTGAAGAATGTTGGGCATTTGAAAAAATCGTCCAACCCTGACCTATTCAGTACCAACCTGCAGATCCCCAACAATTATGCGTACACGCACGCAGTCAACTGGAAAATTAACCAACCGGCCGAGAGCTTTTTTCGACGTGGCGCTTCTGATTCTGGTCTGAGGAGCGTTTGGTTGCTGGTTTTGTCCCTAATTTCCCAATATTCATTTAGTTACGTGATCAATTGCCGATTGAATGCGACATTGATCCGCGCCCGAAGGTCGGATCGTGATTCTGCTATTATCAAACATTCGTTAGGAACGGGGAAGTCGAATCGAAACACCCGTTTTGTGCTTGTCGCTAAACTGGAGCGGGTTCTAATTAAGTATTACATTTCAACCTGTTTCAAGCAGTTTTTTCGTCCTTGTAAGTGGAGACTTTGGCATTTAATCGGCTACTTTCCCAAGGCGTTTCTTCAGTTTGCACCTCAATTTTTGCGCGACTTTAGCTTCAAGACTAGCGATGAGCGAGACACTTGCAAGACACCTGTTGAATCAGCCAAAATTTCGGATCACTTGTGAGACAACGAGAAGGAAAGGTCGTATTATGAATCTACTTATCATAAAATGCGCCGGTGAGTTGCGTTGTGTTGGCGCACCAACCCGGTTCCGCATCAGTGCGCCAACACCTCAAAATTCACTTAGTGATACCGATGCCTACATGCAAGTTTGGGTCTTGCTTAGATGATCACTACTGAAGACTTTTTCTCAATATCTTCTCCTTCGCAGACACTGGCAAGTTTGCATTGCCGGATAAACGTTTGAATTTAGTGCTTGATAAAATGAACAGGAAAGAACGTAAAAAGTCAATCCGATGGCACTTCAGGCAATAAAAACTCCGCCTCATCCACGTGGAAGGACGCGGCTAGAAGGAATTGGGCGCAGCTTCCGAAAATAATTACACACACTCAGCGAGATTAAGCAATTTGCGGCATTTACTGGCTAAAAATAATCCTTACAAGACACTCACAAGAACAAAGAATCTTAATTAGTGGTTGAGCAAAAAAATCAACCATTTGCTCATAGATAGCGGAAAGCATTGGAGTTTTTTTGGCTTAATTACTGGTAACGGAGGACACGCGGTCGCTCTTCAGATGCAGAGAACCGATCGTCCCGATCATGG